AACCAACAATAGAACACCACGTGTCATCACCTACAACCCCCAACTTAAACCTGTCCAACACATTATCAATAAACTACAGCCGTACTGGAACAGGATACCATACTCCAAGAGGCTCTGGGAGACAGACCCATAGTCTCCTATAGACAACCACCTAACCTCAAGATGATTCTTACCAACAACCACAGGACATACCACACTAATACCAACCCTGGTACCTTCCCTTGCAACAAACCCCGTTGCCAGCTTTGTCCACATATTCATTCTGCTGATACCATTATTGGACCTAACCAAGTGAGTTATAATGGAATGGTCGTACTGGGTCAGACCAAAGGTCCATCAAGTCCAGTAGCCTGTCTGTCAACAGCGGCCAACCCTAGGTACCCTGGAGGGGATGGACCAAAAACAGTGACCAAGCCATTTGTCTCATGCCATCCATCTTCAGCCTTCCACAAACTTTGGGCAGGGACACCATTTCTACCCCTTGGCTAATGCCACTCCATGGACCCAACCTCCATGACTTGATTTAACTTCTCTTTAAACTCTGTTATAGTTCTAGCCTTCACAGCCTCCTGCAGCAAGGAGTTCCACAGGCTGACTATGTGAAGAAAGTGCTTTGTGAAGAACTTTCTGTTATTAGCTTGAAGCCTGCTACCCATTCATTTCATTTGGTGTCCTCTAGTCCTTCTATTATGGGAACTAATGAAGAACTTTTCTTTATGCACCCTCTCCACACCACTCATGATTTTATAGACCTCTATCATATCCCCCCTCAGTCTCCTCTTTTCTAAGCTGAAAAGTCGCAATCTCTTTAGCCTCTCTTCATATGGGACCTGTTCCAAACCCCTAATCATTGTACTTGCCCTTTTCTGAACCCTTTCCAAGGCCATATCGTTTTTGAGGTGAGAAGACCACATCTGTACACAGTTCTGAAGATATGGCGTACCATAGTTTTATACTTCCCCTCCTCCTTCTTCCCCTGGCTTCCCCCTTCCAGCTCCCTCCTCCCAGGTTTCCACCTCCCCTCTCCCACCCTCTTTCTCCCCCTCTCCCCCCTCCTTTTCCCAGTCCCCCAGAGGTTAATCCCCTCCGCCCCCAGTTTTGTTAAATAAAGAGAGTTTCTATTTTTGAACACATGTCCTTTATTTTTTACATCAGGAAGAGGGGGCTCGGGAAGGGTAAGTGGAAGGAGGTGAGGGAGGAATGGGGCACGAGCCCCCGATGGGGAGGACTGGGGTGGCTCTGCGGGCTCCTCGGGGTGGAAGCTTTCCTGTAGGGCCTCCTGGATCCTGATAGCCCCCTGATTGACCTCCCCCAGATGGCAGCCTGCGGCAAGTGCAGCCGGGCTGATGGTCGCAAGAGGGCAGTGTGGACGCTCGGCAGGAATTTCTTGTGCAAGAGAGCCCTATGGCTAAAATGGCCATCAGAGCTTTCTTGCACAACAGAGTGTCCACACTGCCATGGGAGCTCTTGCGCAAAAGCACAGCGTGCACATGGCAGTGTGGACGTTTTCTTGCACAAGAGTTCTTGCACAAGAACCCTTGCGCAAGATGTTCTTGTGCAAGAAACTGCCAGTGTAGACATAGCCCAGATGCGGCCATACCAGTTCTGAATAAAGGGAAATAATCACTTCCCTAGATCTGCTGACAGTGTTAGTAATGCATTCCTAGTAATGCACCACAGTATGCCATTAGCCTTTTTGCCTACAAGGGCACACTGACTCACATCCAGTTTTTCATCCACTGGAATTCTGTGACGGACCGGGCCAGGTCTGGGCACAGCTGAGAGTGTCCACTCAGGGCGAATTGCTCAAATTCAGAGCTCCTTACAGCCCCCAGACTGGAGACCTTCCCAAATAGGCCACAAACCAGTCCACAAGAGTGCTTCAGCTGCCTGCCTGGAGCCTCATGAACAAAACCCCTCTGACTCCCCAGCAATATCTGTGCCCCAGATGGCCCCGGGCCTCATACACAGGTGGGGGTTTTTAGAACCCAATCCCACCTACCCCGAACAAGTTCTGTCCGGTTCCAAGAAACCAGCCACAGATCCCAGGTCAATTTACCCTCTGGATCTTACCCACAAATCATGCTGAGCCAATTCTTTAGAATCTACAGTCTAAAGGTTTATTACTACAAGAAAGAAAAGCAGGAGAGTAAGGTTGTTAAGGTATCATACATTACATGCATCGAATCTCCCAGTTCTCGATGCAGGCTTGCATCTTATAGCTGCTGGCTTGCAAGTCTTTGGTGAACATCCAACGTCAAGATGGGTCCACAGTTCTTTCCGGCTCTTCGATCCCTGCACTGCTGCCTCTGGGATGAAGAGCTGAGCTGAGTACCAAGATAGAGTCGGCCACCTGGCATATTTATACCCCCTCCTGGCTTCTTCCAAGTTGGAAAGAGTCACATGACCAATGGTCAGGTGTGTCTTTGGCCTCCAGATGCCCATTGTTCCCTGGAGCTTTGCTAATTAGCATGTCCATGGGCAAACATGCCTGGACCATTACTCAACCACATATAGAGAAACTTCCAGTCTCCATACAGAGTACAGATTCATAACTCCACACGCAGACGTTATACAGATATATGAAGAGCATATACAGAATCAGTAGAAAGTAAGCTTTTGTTTGATACCTCACATAGACCCCTTTGTACTAACTTTTAGGGCAAACACCCCCCATGGGTGCAGCAGTGATCTAGCTGCTCCCCTCAAAATCCAGTAACATGACAAATACCCAGGTCCTTTCCTGCCAAACTGCTGCTTAGCTAATTGTTCCCCAGCTTGTAGCAGTGCTTGGGAGCCTTCCATCCCAAGTGCAGGGAAGTTGGAAAGAGTCACATGACCAATGGTCAGGTGTGTCTTTGGCCTCCAGATGCCCATTGTTCCCTGGAGCTTTGCTAATTAGCATGTCCATGGGCAAACATGCCTGGACCATTACTCAACCACATATAGAGAAACTTCCAGTCTCCATACAGAGTACAGATTCATAACTCCACACGCAGACGTTATACAGATATATGAAGAGCATATACAGAATCAGTAGAAAGTAAGCTTTTGTTTGATACCTCACATAGACCCCTTTGTACTAACTTTTAGGGCAAACACCCCCCATGGGTGCAGCAGTGATCTAGCTGCTCCCCTCAAAATCCAGTAACATGACAAATACCCAGGTCCTTTCCTGCCAAACTGCTGCTTAGCTAATTGTTCCCCAGCTTGTAGCAGTGCTTGGGAGCCTTCCATCCCAAGTGCAGGGGTCTTTGTTGAATCTCATCAGATTTCTTTTGGCCCAATCTTTTAATTTGTACAGGTCACTCTGGACCTTATCCCTATCCTCCAGCATATCTACTTCCGCTTAGTGTCATCTGCAAACTTGCTGAGAGTACAATCCATCCCCTCATCTAGGTCATTAATGAAGATATTGAACAAAACACTGTCATCCAGAGAGTGAGCCATTGATCACCACCTGTTGAGTTCGATAATCTAGCTAGATTTTCTATCCATATTGCAGTCTTTTTATCCAATACATGTTTACTTGTCTTGTTGTCAAGAATACTTGTAGAAGACTGCATCAAAAGTTTTGCTAAAGTTGAGTTATATTATGTCCACTGCCTTCTTCATATCTATAGACCCCGTTAACTTGTCATAGAAGGCAATCTGGTTAGTCAGGCATGACTTGCCCTTGGTGACTCCTTGTTGACTGTTCCTAATCACTTTACTCTGTTTCACGTACTTCAAAATGTATTCCTTGAGAATCAACTCCATGATTTTTCTGGGCACTGAGATGAGGCTGACCAATCTGAATTTCTAATTTTATACCAGACGAATTCTTACTTTGTTGTGCTTCAGTGTGTAGAACTGAATTTTATTTATCTGCACTTTGGGTTTATGCTGCCAGATTAGAGAAATGAAAATCTCCCGAGCAGATCAATTCTATCTATCAAGTTTTTAGCCAAAAATGTCAAAACATTAATTTATTTATAAAAAAAAACATATCATCACATGCCATGTTCTAAGATAATGTATTGTTTCTTGTTGTACTAGGTTATGTTTGATCATGGCCCTAGAATCATAGAATCCTAGGTCTGGAAGACACCTCCGGAGGTCATTGAGTCCAGCCTCCTGCCCAAAGCAGGATCAACCCTAACTAAATCATCCCATTTACATTGCATGGCCTACATTAGAATCTTAGTGGCAATTCCATGCCTATGTTTTCTATAAGTTTACAGCTATTTTTGCAACTCTTTGCTCCTTTTTATCTTCTTCTATCTTATCTTTTATCTTTTTATCTTTATCTTGCTGAACTACCATGGTACAGAGTAAATTGAATTGTTTTCTGTTCATGTATTAATTCTGAAGATCAGGTTCAGAATCTTTATTGATGGCTTTTCCTTTACGTGCCATCCACTTCCCTCTGTTACCCTTCTGAGTTTGTTTTCTTTAATAGCCAGCTCTGCATTGTCTTTTTTGTATTTTGAACACACAACTTAGAAATCACTAAGTAAATATACATAATTGTACAACCCCAGTTTTAAATTAAGAATATAATCTTAGCATATGTTATTACTTCTGTAAATTGCTGCTCTTGACACATTTGAAAGGAAACTTGAATGGTTAGGGCTCTCTTTTTTATATGCTAACTATCAGGTAAAGTCAGGCAAAGTCATTTTATATAGATTACACTTATAGGAAAGTTCAATAAATTAAATAGATGTAATAGAATTTTTTATTAATGTGCTTGCAAAAGGCAAGTAAAAGAACAGTTTTAAGTTTGTAAGATTTCAACTTCAAACATTATTCATTTTATTGAATAATTGAATAATTACCATACATAGTAAATTTTGAATCAGAAACTCATAACGCTTCCATCAATTTTTTTCGTAACTAATTTGAATTATTTTGTGATTTGTAACAATAAAAATGTTCTTTGTACTAAAATGACAGTTGAATAGGTGACTCAGTTTTAATTATGTTAGCAAATATGTTTATGAATGTTAATCATCAGGGCTCGCCAAGCGGCGGCAAGCCTTGCTCGCCAGACGGGCGGAAGTGCATGCTGTGCATGAGCAGACCTCGCTGCGCATGTGCAGACCTCGCTGCGCATACACTGACCTTGCTGCACAGCCACACTGGGCTAAAATCTACTCGCCACAGGTGAGTAGATTGCCTGATTTGTCGAGCCCTGTTAAGCATAATAGCCATGACTTTTTTCCAATGAAAAACAAAAAATAATTGTTTAAACTTTTCACCCAGCATATTCTGGAGTAAAAAGTAGTGCATTCAGCTAATTTGAGTGGCAGGATTGTTTATGCTAAATTTGGTATCTGTAGGTAATTGTGAAGTGTGACTTTATTTTGCACAAACAAAGAAATTTGCTGGTGGGCGATAAGACATTTTGTTTATGTTGATTGTCCCCAAGCATAGTCCCCTGCAGCCACAGTGGCCCAATGAGAATTGGGGTAGGGGTGCCCGCAAGAGGTCAAAAAAGGGATTTATTTTACCAATAGAGGGTTGCAATGAATCACATTAACAATCACATTCTATTCAAAAGAAAATATGGAAAGCAATTGTTTCAGATGGCAATGTGAGAGCTTTTACATGCATCTCTCTTTACATATTAGATTTATACAAAATCTGTAACTTCTTAAAAATTACTCTGTTCAACTGAATGTGTGTATTCATAGTGCTAATTAGTGTGTGTGTAGGGTTCAGTTGAATCATTTATTGAATAAATGATCACTGTACTTTGCAAAACCTGGATGGAATTAAAGTATATTTCAAAACCTTAATTGTATATCACTGATATTCAAGATTTACATAAATTATTGGTCTCAGAGGGCTAGCCATGTTAGTCTGAGTCTGTAAAAACAAGGAGTCCCATGGCATCTTTAGGGCTAACAGATTTATTTGGGTTTATCAGTTAATCCTGTCGACTACACACATTCTCCCCCCTCCATCCTTGTTGCCTCTGTATCAGATGCAGCAAGGGGGGGAGGTGGGAGCCAGTGCCCCCTCCCCACATTGCTGCCTCTGATAGAGGCATCCCATGGAGCAGCCTCTGTCTGCGGGAAGCTCAGACCCCCCATGGAGAGGAACTGTTGCCACCACATGCTGCTGCCACTGTATCGGAGGCAGCAACGCAAGGTGGCAGGCAAAGCTGGTCTGTGTGGGAAGCCACACATAAGAATAAACCAAAGGTCCATCTATCCCAGTATCTTGTCTTCTGACATTGGCCAGTGCCAGGTGCTTTAGAGGGAATGGATAGAACAGGTAATCCATTCCCAGAAGCTTGGAACACCATCCCTACCCATCTTGGCTAATAGTTTGTTTATGGACCTCACTCACCTCCATGAATATAATTAAGTTATTTTTTGAATCACGTTGTAGTCTTCGCCTTCACAACATCCTCTAGCAAACAGTACCACAGGCTGATTGTAGAATGTGTGAAGAAATATTTCTTTTTGTTTGTTTTAAACTTGCTACCCATTAATTTCATTTGGTAACCTCTAGTTCTTAATATCAGAAGAAATAGCTCTTCCCTATTTACTTTCTCAATATCAGTCATGATTTTATAGACTTCTATCATACCCCCTCTTAGACATTTCCAAGTTGAAAAGTCCTGGACTTATTTATCTCTCCTCATACCCTTAGTAATTTTTGTTGCCCTTTTCTAAATGTTTTCCCATTTCAGTATATCCTTTTTGAGATGGAGCAACCACATCTGCTTGCTATATTCAAGAGGTAGGCATATTATGGATTTATATAGAGGCAAGACAATATTTTGCATCTTATTATCTATTAATTTCTTAATGATTCCCAGCATTGTACAGGTTTTTTTTTTTTTGGTGGCTGCTTCACATTGAGTGGATGTTTCCAGAGAAATATCCACAAAGACTCCAAGATCTCTTTCTTGAGGTGCAACAACAAATTTACACTCCATCTTCTTATAGGTGTAGTTAACCAATATGGCTACATTTAGACTGGCATGATTTTCTGCAAATGCTTTTAACGGAAAAGTTTTTCCGTTAAAAGCATTTGTGGAAAAGAGCGTCTAGATTGGCACGGACTCTTTTCCGTAAAAGCACTTTTTGCGGAAAAGCATCCGTGCCAAACTAGATGTGGTTTTGCACAAGAAAGCCCTGATCGCCATTTTTGTGATCGGGGCTTTTTTGCCCAAAACATTACTGCGTTGTCTACACTGGCCCTCTTGCGCAAAAGTATTTGCGCAAGAGGGCTTTTGCCCGAACAGGAGCAGCATAGTATTTCCACAAGAACACTGACAATCTTACATGGGATCGTCAGTGTTCTTGCGGAACTTCAAGCGGCCAGTGTAGACAGCTGGCAAGTTTTTCCACAAAAGCAGCTGCTTTTGTGGAAACACTTGCCAGTCTAGACACAGCCTATATGTATAGAGTATCCCTGCTGGTAAGTATCACCCACTTTAATTTGAATGATTTGTAGAGAGTCTTTCATTTTTATATATGTCTTGTTCTCCTTTTTGAATGTACTTTAGCTTATGAATTTCTCATGAACCAATATGTCATGAATAATCAAATGAACAATTTGCTATTTGTTCTGTGTGACTGGTAATTCAAGTTAGGCTATTGTTTGTTTCCTGGTTGTGTAACCAAAGCTGCTTCTATAAATAGGAGTGCTTATATAAATCTCTCTTAGTGTTCATATGGCCATCTTGAAACTTCCCACATGAACTTCTTTTCTGCCACATGTGTTATTTATAACTTTGTTTCAAACAAAACAAATAAAGGATTGCATGTGGCATTAAAGCAAATTTATTATTTGTAATTAGTTGAATTATCTTGAATCCTTTTTCAAAGCAGTATCCGGACTTTTGTGAACCTTGATCACGAACTAGCCTTGTTAAAGTTCCTGAAGCTCTGTTTATCATAGCACTGTGACTTTTCTCCCTTTTTCATTTTTTTAATGTTAAAGTGACATTAATTGTTGGTTGACCATTTCGCTTCTTATTTGACTACTCTGTGATACACTGCAACTGCTTATTTAACAGAAATACTATTGCGTATGCATAGAGGTTGAAAAGGAAAAAGTCATGGGGTTCAATCCTGCTCCCACAGAACTTAATTGTAAAATGACCGTGTCTGTCTGTAGAATCAGGATCAGATTCAAAGAACTTTTATCTTAGTGTCTGATATTATTTTAACAAAGATGCACCAGTCTCCTCTCACCTTTCCAGAACTGGCTGGGGGTCACTTTGTTAGGGACTGTTAGCCCTACTATATAACTAGCAAGATCAGGTGATGGTTTAAAGCTTGTGCTTCACTGAATAGTCCAGTTTAGCTTTTTATAAATGTTAGATTTCCATGGTGGTAATTCTGTAGACTACATATAATAACAGTTCTCTGATGATGATGTAACACAACTAGGATTTTCTGCTTTAGAGGGTAAGACAGACATGTGACAGGGTGCAGTCACAGAAGACCCCCTGGGTGCCTCCTGGAGTGCTGACAAATTTTCTGACACTCTTCTCCTTGCTCCCTGGGGCTTCTCACTGCCCTGTCCTGCTGGGTCAGTTCCTTGGTCTCCCCTAGAAAAGGCACAGAGCTAATATCACCCTCCCCCCACACACCCCACAGCTCCTGAGAAGCAATGTAGACACTGAAACTCTTCCTTCAGGTCTGAGGAAAATACAGTTTTGGGCCCAGCTTCCAGGCAAATCACTCCCCAAATGAGATCAGAACCTCAAATAAACCAGTCAGATAAGTCTCCTTTAACAATGAAAGGAGGATGTCCACACTCATTGCTCCCCCAGGTAACAATTTTTTGCACTAGGCTTGATAGTAAATGAAAGTGATTTTATTAAGTACAAGCGGTAGGATTTAAGTGGTTGCAAGTGAAAACAGGCAGAGCAAAGTAGATTACAAATTTTAAAATAATAGAAAAAGCTTAGCTAGTTATAACACACACTCAAGCTTATTACAAACTCACCCTAAAACTGTTCTTATTTCAGCCAAACCTCAAAGCCTGAGAAAATGTTTTCCCCTGGGGTCTCTGATTCATTCTCTGGGGCAGTGTTTCTCAAACTGTGCTTTGCGGAGCCCCAGGGCTCCACGAGACATCTCCATGGTTGCTTGCTCACTGCTTTATAAAGACTTGGACTGCCTGAAAGTCCCTCCCCCTACCAAGGCTCAGCCAATCAGCAGAGGCTTCTACAATTCAAACTTTAATTAGAAGCCAATGGTTTTCACCTGCCAATC